AATTAACAAAGGTAAAAAACTGACATTATTATTCATCTTTCTCGATGGTAGAGACATCTACGTCTTGTAATTTAAACTATTGAAAACAGTCACATATCCTGCCATTTAACCCGCGCTTCTGATAGTTATAAATTCAATGATGACACTTCGAAAGAACGTGATTTGACAATCCAAACGCGTTTGGATCACCGAAAGAAAGCGCCTTATATCTAGTGACTTTAATTAAAAACGTGTAGCAGCGCCCCCCAGCGGTGGAGGGATGTACATCATATACTGGTACAGAGTTGATTCAAAGTAAATTTATACACCTCTGGAGGCTAAATAAAATTCAACCCACATAAAAGAATGGTACTACTGAACTTAAAATTCATTTTCACAATTAATGAGAAAAAACAGTAAGTACCAATATCTTTGGATTGGGTTCCCTTATTAATAAAAAATACACAAATTTGTTCACGAGATAAATTCCCTTAAATAGACCTTTTCAGGAATGTTAGGACGAGGAAGTGCAAAATCCTCAAAACCGGTCGATTCATATTTTGATGCAATTCATATATCTTACACTTATCGATGAGGTGAAATATCCTCCCATTCGCATCTGAGCTTCTTCTTTGGAGGGTAGTGCAATTCATAAACGCGAACGAAATTTAACTCCCGCAAAGAAGAAAGAGTGGGGTACATACCTGATTATACCCCCATACTCTGCTCTGCCCTCCTCTCCCCTACACTCACAGTGTTCTCATTCACAGCAACGTGAATATTCCGGTTTTCCAACATACAGATTATCTACCTACAGATTGCCATGTACAGGGTGGCCAACTAAGAATGCGAGGTACTGTATCTGAGCACCTATCCATCGTAGAGGCTTGCGGTAAAAAAAGTTATTATTAAAACGGGTACGAGATAAACCTGGAAAATATTTTTAAGTTCTTGAAATGGCCGCTAGGGGGCGTAACTGCAACCTGAAATCTTAAAGTCACTAAATATAGAAAGTACCGCAATCCATTGTGCTCGTGTGTTAGAGAGAGAACGCATGATTTTTGCCCAAAAATGGCGGAAGTTACCAGGTTCTAGTAACTTTAATGTTAGGGATTGTTCCACCTGTTTGGAGATATCTGAGGCGCTTTCTTTCGGTGATCCAAACGCATTTGGATTGTCAAATCACGTTCTTTCGAAGTGTGATCTTATGATCATGAACGATCGTGAACAAATTGAACATAAAAGTTTTATGATCACGAATTCCTAACCTATAAATGCAAGGATATTTTTGCTCAAATGTTCGATTAGTCAATATTTGTAACTGAAGAGGAGCATAATTGTGCAAGTACTTCCACTTGTATTTAAATTATTTTCATAATCCAAAAAAAAATACGTAATTCGAATGCAAATGTGTACTACGTAAACTCAACCATACTTTGATTTAAATTCGCGCGTTCTTTCGTAAAACGTGATCCTACGAATCACGATTTTGAAATCATGATTGCTAAGCAGCCGAAAGAAAGCACCTCTGTATATATTTTTATAAAACATGACAGTACTATGAAGTTAGGTTATAAAAAATGACAGCTATTCAGATTTTATTTGTCAATTTTTTTAAGTTGGCAGCAAATTTGCCCAAAAATGGCGGACGATTGCGGTACTTTCTATATCTAGTGACTTTACTGAAATCTAAAAAAGTGATGTTTCTGTGAATTCCGTAAAGAACACCCTGTATCTTCGAAACGGCTGAGCCGATTTAAACAAACTCGGGTTAGTTCAAAAGAGCTATTCTTCAGCTCCAAATATTATTGAAGTTTTGATAGTTTCACATATCACCGCTTGAGGGCTTTTTTCGACATTCCGACAGATAGTTAATTTTCTCAAAAAAATTAAATGCATTGGTTCGATTTTTTTTTGATGAAAAAGTAGCAAATGATGCCTAAACAAGCTCGCGAAAGAGCATCTCGATATCTTGAGATATATGACTTCGATAGATAGATATACAGGGTGAGTTTTTTTTTCATTTTAAGCATTAGGATCTCGGAAACCGTAAGACATAGAGATTCGGTTAAATGAGGAAAGAGTTGTCATTTTAAGAGCTTATTCAGGATATGCTTTTGTTTTTTGAAAAAAATCCACAGTTTACTACTATCGGAGTAAAATGTAGAGTCCGCTGGCTTTAAACGGTTATAAAAAAAAACTACCCAACCGATTTTTATCAAATAAAGCGTAATATAATCGTCAACTATTTCTACGTATCCGTACGTAATGTCATATTTCTTGTTAAATTTGGGAAGATGTGATAGTGAATAAGTGAAATATGTACGGGAAAGCGCGCTTTTTCAATGAAAGTATACGAACTCAGAACTTTAGGATTTAATTACAAAAAAAGTATTCACTCAAATGGGATAATGTTTACGTATGTGATAGAATACACCTTTAACTATACGTCGATACATTTTTATGCATTTCTGTATAATTACGCAAACGTTACAGCGATAAAATGACAGACGCGTTTATTCGCTTATTATAAGATACACTTTAAAAACTTTTGTTCATATCGATAAAGGACAATTACAAATGATATGATCACGGAATAGAATCAATGACAAAAAAATGTGAAGGGCTGCAGGAATTAATATATTTTGAGCGAAAGAGATAAACGCAACACCTAGAGCGGAGTTGGGGGGAAGGTCATTTAATCGCAAAGTTGTACCTTGCAGCAACGTTTCGTATAAAGCGGCACACACGCTAAGTACACGGTTAAGTAATATATGCATGAAATTGTTATTATGTTTGCCGCACATCACACATGAAAACCGCAGGTTATTATTCAATTCATCTTGTTTCGTACGTAGAGTATTGGCTAATTTACACAAAAACAAACATCCACAAGTTGTTTTCAGACAATATCTACGCATTTATGGCGTTTGCTATTTTATTCATCTTATAAAAAAAGAATGAAGTCGTTTCCTTCAATAATAGCTGCGTTGCAATGTTTTTGCTTTTCCGCTAATTACGCAAAAAGGGAACAAGATATTTCCATAATTTTCTACAATAGCTACAGCAAGAATTGGGTTATGTAATACCCGAAATGTATGAATTTTCGTGGAAAAATAAACTATTTATGGACCTGTACAGTTGAGCATCGCGACAAATCACGCATTTTAGAGTACTTTTTTGTGAGGAAAATTCGATAACGTAAAAAGTCCTGTAAGCAAAAATTTACAATTTACGTATGTTAACAACAACTTACCAATTGATACGTTCCAAAAATTTCATTAATATCGGCTCCAGCGATTTTGAGATTTGAGCCTTCAAAGTGAGCGGACTCTACATTTTACTCCGATAGTAGATGTGGGCGAAAAACAGCTTTAATGATGTTTCATTTAACTGTTGTAGAATCGTTAGTATTAGGAATACAGAAATATGCAAAGAACAAAAATTGTAGATTTTTTTCCGCTTAATAAGATATATTTATTAATATTTATTCTTCTTTTATAATTTTCGAGTTATAACGCAAACATTTTTTTAAATGGTAATCATAGTTGACTGAGACAATTTTTTGTTTATCGTGTTTGTTGTTTGGTGATGAGCTCGGTGATGAGGCATCATAATGGACAAAGAATGGCGTTACACACTTATTGCATTTATCTGAAAAAATTAAAAAATATTAATCTTGAAAGACATATATCTGCTAAATTGGGATTTAATTTATCAGGTAAGCAAGATATACGGCAACAGTTAAATAATGCATATCGTTTGAGTATCGAAAAACGTAATGAGGAAATAAAAAAGAACAGGTATGTTTTATCCAACATTATACACCGTATAAAATTTTGTTGTGCTTTCTCTCGCTCTCAGCAGCCATGACAAACGAGAAAATTCAATAAACCCTGGAATATTTAGAGGGCTTTTTATGCCATTTAATAGGCCCTTTTTTTTAATTGTGCACCCCCAAGACACATCACTACGCGCCGCCACTGGTTATAGCATCAATTTAAATTCATCATAGACTACTTGATTAAAATATAAAAACCGTTGATATAATTGGTATCTTATTTTCAATCTTGTGCTATGATAGCTCGCTGAAAGGAGAATTAAAAAATCTATCACATAATCTAAAAATCCAATATGGCGCCTATTTAACTTTATAATAATGTTGCTGTTTTATATTTACGTTATTTACATTGTGCATTATTGACATGTCAAAGCCACATTTGGTACTCTGACAATAAATGATTTGATTTGATTTGATTTGATTTAGAAAGTTAGAATTTTTTCTTAACATCAATTCTAAATGAAGCGTATCAAAGAGAGTAACTTTTATATAACACCTTTTTTTATATCTCTTATACTTTCGATGATGTAAGACATTAAAGGAAATGACCAATTTTAGTTTTTTTGAATTTACGTCGAACCTATTGGACATTTTGAATTTCCACAAGGAAATTTTAAATAAGCATCTAAAACTGCAAAACATTGTTTATTTAACCCATTCTCTATCTTTAATAATAAGAAAGTTACCCATGCTATCCCACGCGATATGGGACACACTGTATAATAATAATAATAATAAAACACAGATTAAGAAAATAAAGGAATAGTATGTAATTCATACTTACCAAAATTGATGGCCACAACAGCCAACGCTAACACACAAAAAAATAAAAAAATTTAGCTATTATTATTATTATTATCATTGATTTTAGAGAGGCGTTCGAATGCCCCCTCAACATTTAAGGCTTCCAATATAAAGCCTTTGAGACTATGTTTGTGAACTGCAGCCACTTCATAAAACTTTCCTGTTTGGTAGGCATATTGCTTCATGTTTAGAGGCCTCCTGACTAGCACATTACCCTAAGATGCCTTTTTTTTTAGCGGCCAAACGAACCCAATAACTAAGCGAAATCAAAAAAACAGAATAGGGTAAATCATATTATCGAAGTAAAAACTCTACTGTTAGTTAGAGTTAGACGATAGCTTACTCTAGTTTTACTGCGAAAAAGGTTTACCTTTAACTGAAACTAACATTTTTTTCTAGATGCCAAAAGTTAGGATCAAGTCGACAACTGAAGCTCACGGAATATGAGTGCACAACCTGCCAGTTGGTTATATTCGGTGATGATATGTCTATCATGCGACACCGCATGACCAGGCAAGGAAAGGGAAAACGTTCAAGTACGTATCCGTTATCGAAAAACGCAGTTTTATATTTTATTTCAATTTAGAAAAGATCACTTTGAACCAAAAGGTGAAAAATCTTCTTGTTAGCGAAAAGTTCATAACGCAGGAGGCTAATAGACTTGTAAAGGAAGCAAAAGAAGTTCTACAGAATCAGGCAAAGGTTAATGAATGCTGTTGCGCGATTAAAGCAGCTTTGACGGAACTCTATCCGCATTGCGCCGTTTATCCCTTCGGGTCACAGGTCTCTGGACTAGGAAATAAGGTAAATGCAAATCTTTCCGCTTTACTCGGCTAAAAGTCGAATGTAGGGAGAAATTAATTAGAACATTCTTCGACTAATAATTTTGTTTATGCAGCATAGTGATTTAGATTTATTTGTCGACTTGGACGACATGTATTTCGGCGAAAAAAACCAAGATTCGCGTAATCAAGTTAGATACGTAACTGACGTAATGAAAGTATTTGTGAAGAAGCCAAAGCTTTTCCGTGATCTCAATCCGATCGCTAGCGCTAGAACGCCGATTGTACAAGTCTACCACGTTCCTACTCAATTAGATTGTGATTTATCATTTCGACACGGTTTAAGTGTGGAAAACACCAAATATTTACGGTGAGTGGACTTTTTATGTTTGCCAATCCAGGAGTGGACAAGTAAAAATTTGGAAGTTTGATTTGTTTTTCCGGCACTGCATGTTATTGATCTTGAAGTTCTCATATTTTATAAATTCACCCCAACATTATTTCTCAAGCTAATGACATCAATCAAGGGGCTACAACACAGAATCTAATGCTCTTTTTTAATGGATTTTGTAGTTATTGTGATAGGTTAAAATATCTAAACTGGGACAGTTGATACCGTGCATATTAGGAATATAGAAAGAAAACTGAACTGAAGTCGGTATAACGGTTCGTAGAGTTGGCGCTGCGTTTCCTCAAACCAGGCGTATAAACGGCCAACTAGGTCAGGGTTAAAAAAGAAAATACAAGTTTGAGATCTGTCAGTGGTAGTTGGTACTGGGCATTTGATCTTCATCCTTTGTTGCACTTACCAATGGTTGAGCGCCACTCAATTTCTAACTTAATTCTCTTCGTATGAAATCAATTTAGGTACCAAAAGAAATACTGGTTTATTTAAACAAATGTCACAAATGAAAATTCTCTCCACAATGGGATAGGGTAAACACAATAGTATGCCACTACCCTGAAGAGAAAAAAAATTTGTACCAGTTACCATTTGTGTAGGGTGTTGAAAAACGCAATGAACTATGACATTTTTGAGGATTTTAGGTTTTAGATTGATTGAATAACAATTAAACAGAAAATATCTGGACTCACCTTCCGTTTTGATTGCACATTTTAAAAAAATGATACTGAATACTGCATTGGCAGATTTAATAACTCTTACTGCGCTTGCAACCTTAGTGCAAGTAATCGACCCTTCATTCACTAAATCAGCCTTCCATCATTGTTTTGTAGTGGTTATCATTGTCGAATTTTGATGTTAAGAGCGAGCCATCGTCTACATCAAGTTGCCTTCGTAGCCTTTCCAAGGAAGAAAGCAAGAAAGAAAAAATTTCCGCGGCGGTGCACCCCAGAGAATTCTGTGGGCGGTCCGTGCAGAGTACAGCTGGAGGGTTAATTTCAATTCGACAGAAACAATCAGTGAGAAGTCTATAGCCGGTCCGTGCAGATCACAGTAACAGTTTAAAAACATTTTGCGATATCCAACTGCATATTTATGTAAAGACGATTTAATCACCTACTTGCATTAAGTGTTGTTTTTTACGCCATTTACTTATAAAGTTTTGGACTCACAGCTGAAAATTCTTAACGTATTTCAGTTCGATATATTTTATTGTACAGGGTGTTCATAAAATACAATTAATTTGCTTTCAGCATCTGACCGTGAGTTGTTATACATTGATTTTATTTCATTTATAAATAAAGTTGAATATTTCCTATCAATGCGAAGTGCGTTTGTGCGAATAAATGTCGTTTAACCATTTAAAAATAATTGACCAGTACTTTATACAAATCAAATATTTAAAATAACTTTATTGTTGATGTGACTAGGTTTTCTTCAGGTTACGATTGACATTATTAATCAGCTTCAACTTAGAAATATGGAAACAGATCGCTTCGTGGCGGCGCAGCTGAACTTTTGCCACCGCTCGTAATATCAGCTTCTTGTTGAAAGGAAATGTTAGTACAAAGTTGTCCGTATGAATTGCAAATCCAAGCACACCTGCTTCAGGTTCTCGAAAGTATGGATCGATATTTTGTTCTGCATAGGAATAAAAAGCCAATTCCCCACTGTACTGAGTATTAATTTTGCCCATATATTAATTTAGTTTTGCTGGGAGTAAATGCACAAATTAATTGTCTTTAAATTTTTACCACAAGCCGCTGATAACAGATGTACAGATTTATTTATAGCACATTGCGTCTTGGAATTGATGTCAGTAAACTTCGCTGGACTTACTTTTTTAACTAGCCATTACATTCAATTTATTTTATACAAATACCTGCTATTTTACCTTTGGCATTTTAGCGGGGCAACTAGCTATTACAATCGAGATTAGAAAAACGTTCTTTAACATAAACATCTTTAATATCGTCCTGATGTGTCTAAAGTGGTGTGGAAACGAATGGTTATTCGCGTAAATTTTAATTACCAAATGCGAACGCCTATACTATAAATCAGGCCTTCGAACAACTTTATGTCGCCCTGCGATTTACGGCATAGGTGTTTCTTTGTATCATTAGAAACTGTACACTCGCCCCTTTTTTAAAAATAAAGTCGCCAAGAATTCGCAATTACAATTAGAATTAAACTAAGAAACTAGATTAAACTAATTCAGTTACGCGATCGAATTTTAATGAACGCACCAATTTGTTCGTGTTTGTTCTTGAATCCAAACTGAGAATGCCGACTCTTTCGTTTCTTTGGCTATTTGTATTCTGCCCCCCCCTCCCCGAGAAATCCGAAACCGGCGAATTCGCGTGTTTTTCTAGACAGACTTCCATACGTTCTAAAATTCCTCCCGTGCCACCGGATATTAGAACTGGCAACACGGTCGAGCTCGCACTTATCTACTCAACACAGATTGCGTGTTATTCTAAATGCTCTTATCTCCAGACATACTTTCGTTTACGCTACCTTTGAAGCGGTATATGTGTAAATTTGCCTATGTTGAAATTCAAATTTTGGGATGTTTACGGATTTTTGTCGCATTGCAGTTTTAAAAATTATTTTTTCGATGTTGAAATTCAATATTTATTAATTTTCTCCAAGATGATGACCATATGTTGGTGTAAAAATCAAACACTTTATTAACTGTAATAACTTCCCCTTAAGTTTCTCTAAAAATCAGTTTATTCACAAATAATGACCGGTGTTAAGATCTATTATGTTTGCTTGTTTACAAAATGAATGACACCTACCATTTCAGTTCAGTTTTCTCAAGCCTCAAAAATTCTTGATGAGAGAAAAGGGCAATATAGTCGACTGATAAGAGCACTATATTCTGCATTAATTTTGCACTCTTCAGTAATTAAAAGAAATAATTAGATTGATCACCCTATTAATGATGTTAAATCTACAACTCAAATTTTTACCTGTCCGTGACTTATCTTAAAATGACCATAATTGATTTTGAATTTAGGCTGTGTATAGAATTGCAACCGACGATTCAGCAGTTAATTCTTATACTAAAGCAATGGCTGGTTTGCACTAAATTGACGGGCCATATCACAACGTACTCGCTTTCGATGATGGTAATCTTTTTTTATCAAAGTTTGGGATATTTAACCGCAGTTCACAAGCTTAAATATTTAGCACCGGGAGCCTCGCTTATTATTGATGGTAAGCCTGTCTAACATAAGTATTGCTCAAATTCATGTAATTTTCAGGCTGGGGCGTTATCAATTTCGATTCATTTACCCCAGAAGCGATTAGGCCACATATTAATTTATGTGAAAAATCTCTCAAGGAATTACTCGTGGATTTTTTTTTGTATTATAGCAAGTTTAATTATGAAAAAGATGTACGTATTCACTTTGTATTTGCAGTATGTGGTTTGCATGTGAACATTTATAGGTGATTTGTCCTCTCTTAGGACATACCATAATAAAATCTCTATTTTCCGAAGACGCACAGGTTACCGGTTTACCTCTGGAAATGTCAATATATGTTCGAAAAGTTTCTGAAAACACCACTGAGCATTTTAGGTCTGAATCGGCCATGTGTATTCAAGATCCGTTCGATTTGAGTCACAATTTAACGAAAGGCTGTTCTGCTGGTATTGTAAATAAATTAAAGCAATTATGTGGTTTGACGCATACATTTTTAACAACGGGAAAATAATGTTTATGGGGTTGAGTTTTTTATATGCTTTGTTTTATTGTACAATCTTTTAAATAAAAGTGCTTGAAAACCCTTGTTTTGTTTTTGTTGATCGCACAACCAAATTTTGTTCTATAGACCCATCAGCTTGTGTAGAAAACTAGTCTCCCTGTTTTAGATTAGGATGCGTTGCAGGTGCAATGGTAGGGGATAGAATGCAGCAGGAATGAAAAGTTACATTATTGAGGCAACCCCAAATCTCAGGCCTAGTCTTTGTCATATCTTAAATCAATTGACGCTTTATTCTAAAAAGTATAAACGGGAATAGCCATTTTAGAACAAGCAAAAACTTTTGCATTTTTCTGAAAAAGTAAATAATAAAAAAGTAAACGGTAGCTCCAAGAATTCTAAAGGGCAAGCGGTAAAATTCAAGCCCACAGCAATGTCCCTAAGGGGAAACAGTTAATAATCGGATTCGCTGGCGGTATCTACAGAAACGCAAATGTAGGGAAGGTAAACAATATACCCCCCTCCCACCCTATAATGAATGGAGCAAACAGGAACAAAAAACTTACCTTGCAATTAGACGGAGCGATAAAATTTACTGTGCAAGAAAAGCTGTAGATACAGTGCGGTAAACTTAACGTTTGTAAAAGCAAAAATTAAATGGTGTGAATGAAACATATTTGCGGAAAAGCTCAAAATTACAGTACTTCTGAAACTTGTGAAGATGCAAAAAGCAACTTACTATTCTGTTAAATGCCAAAAGCAAAAAAATCCCCTCTAATCAACTGCTTTACCATTTATAAAATTCGGCTAATTCATGGGGGAATCAACGGAACGGCTTTTTCAGTGAAACAGCGTATTCGATTATCTACACTCAAAAATTAAAACTTCCTGTTACATTATGGGGCCTGCGGGCGTCCTTAAATCTGTAATGGGTGTTAAAATTTAAATTAATAAGAGTGCTTCTTTTGAAACCACTCACGGCTTAATTGGATGTTGTTTACTGCAACACATTAAACTATTTACTCCTAATTTGCGCCTGCTAAAGGTATGGTTAATCTACGAGGCTGGCCCTGGTTGCAGGGTGACTACACGAATGTTTCAAATACATTTTAAAAATCAAATGGAAAGTTGATGCAAATTAAGAATTTAAAACAGAAATGCCATCGTTACACTGCTACCAATGTATAGGTATTTATAACAATTTGAAATTCATGCGTTTTAAATTATTCATTATCTCCTTACTCGGCGAGGGCGAGTGGAATGCATGGCTACTCAATTCGTAGCGGCGGCAGCACGATACAATCCCAATTTCGAGGGCGGTGGGGCAAGGAAAACTATTGAGGGCTAGTGCTACGGAACGCAATTTGTCGTCTCTTCCCTAATTTGTCACTCAACGCTTTTAGGCTAAAATTTCGTGAACATATCTTAGTAAATAACAAAGTTGAGATGTGCTTACACGCAGAAATGGAAGCTTATTCGACATTTCTTTTCTTTTCGCCTGCGTCTTGAAAACCATTAAAAAATCGCATCTTCAACCTTATGCAAAGGTCCAAGTGTTGAGATCTCAAACCATGGGACGGATGGAAATCACAAAAGTATGAGGTGTATTTTCATGAAAAATGTCTGTTTACTGTGCCGTGCTTTTTTAATGCGATCAATAATGACAAAATCGCATGTGAGTGTTCAAATAAAGCGTAAAACAATAGGTACGAGTGATTTACAATACAAGTGCCTTGTAATTTTCTTATGTTTGACATTGGATATCATATACTTATATGTAGCTATATACTCAATATACCCCATAATAAATGCTTATTTCCTCCCGATCAATATTCGATTTTGTACAAGCACGCTAGTGCATAACAACTTTACCTACTCATCGGTAGTGCAATGAAGGTGAGAAATGTTTTGTATTTTGTGCTGCTTGCGCGTGTTTCGCGTTCTACAGGCAACGTGCAAATGGCTTCAAATGAAACATCTTTATTAACATGTACTGAGAAGGCAATTGAGAAACTTTTTGGAGAAGAAACCCTTTATTACATTTTCAATAACAATACGAGCTACTTGTTACCGTTCTATACCAAGAATCCGAAAGTTATTATTAACGCCAAGGGTCGCTTACGAATCCTAAATAAAAAGAGTTCCCACAATGTTGTAATCCTAGTTGACCATTTCGAAGCTTTTAAAGGAGACATATACGAATTGCATCAGAGCTCTCGTTTCCCTACTAACGGAAGATTTCTAGTTATAACAGACAATTTTCAACTGGTAGAAAAGATCTTCGGTCTATTATGGCGGCAAAAGATTGTTTATGTCGCGGTGTTGGTAATTAATAGACGCGATCATAACAAATCGCGATTATTTACTGCAGATCCACATGACGCCTCAAACGATTGCGGAACCACGCCTAACGTAATTCACCACCAAAGTTGTAATAATTCACTGGTTGACACTCTTCCTAAACCTCTAAGGAACTATCATATGTGTCTCGCAGCATTCGGTATCTTCGCCCAACCGCTAGATCAATTGAGCCGAAGGAATTATACTCTTAGAGTCTTGGCCGAAGTATTAAACGTTTCTTTAATAGCTCTTGAGTACAGAGAATATCAGCATAATGACATCGAAATAATTGATATTGGTGAACGTTTCTTAACATACGAAAATTACCATACAAGTCGATTGAGCCATGTGTTTCAAAGAGACATCATTGTATGGATTGTTCCACCCCCCAATGCCATTTCGCGTTTAGAAATTCTATTTATTAGCTTCGAAAAGGAAGTTTGGTTATTAGTTGTTGGGGTATTCGTATTATTTTCATTAGCTTGGTATGTTCTCAACAGATTCAAAATAGGTATAGGCAGAATCATTATAAATGCAGTAAGTATAACTCTGTGTGGTAGCACCCATTGCATTCCGAAATCATCAACTTTAAGATTCTTAATCATGTGCTATATCATATACAGTATACATATACAAATTGCCTACGTTGCCAACTTGACTCGCTTAATGATGTCAGTACCGACGGGAAAACCCATTGGGAGCTTTCAGCAACTGGTAGAAGCAAATATCACAATTTCTATTGATCGAATAACTTTGCATATCTTAGCTGCTACTTGGAATGAGGATATGGTCAGTGCAAAATGGAACAACATTAATAGCGAAAAAGTAAAACTTCCAAAGCAACATCCACCTGAGTTACTCCACGAGTGGTACGCAAATCGAAATTTTTGTATGCCCATTATGCTAAACACATTGCATGATATGGAATTGATTTTAAGGGTACGCACTCCAGATTATTTTACTGATCAGGATCTATCACTTCCCACAATGAAAGTATTTGCAACCACCAGTAGTGGTTACTTTATAGACAGTGTAGATGAAGTCATTGACAGGTTGACAGAGAACGGATTCTACGATAAGCTGGATAAGGATAAGAAATTTTATGCTGATACTAAAAAGAGTGAATTTATAACTGAGGAGCAAGTGACTGCGCTATCTTTCGAGCAAGTTAGTGGTGTTTTGTTAATATATTGTTTTGGCTTGTTATTATCTTTAATGGTATTCATTGGAGAATTAATCGTGTATCACTGTAAAAAGTGACTTATTGTTTTAATTAATTCATAAATTATACACTCTTTTCACTGATTATACTGTTATATTTATTGGCACATAGCATTGTATAGTGATAATTGTAAACTCACATGTTGATGGCTTGTAATTTTCTTGTAAAAATAAAATCTTTCACGGGACCTAATATATGTAAAAGCTTTTAGGAAATTATTCAAAATCTTACTGCAGGTGAAAATTAAAGGTAGGTATGCACAACCTGCTGATGTTACATCTAGGTGATTGACCAATCCGCCCCAAAAACAACAGTTTTCTTGGCAAGCCTGAACTGGAAGCGCGTGAAATATGTCCGATACAATTTTGCGATCACATTGCACGTGCGTTAAGGAACGCGCCTGCAACAACGTCCATCTGTGGCGGAAACTCTCACACAAGTCTCTCGATCTGTCTGGTCTTCCAACTACATACGCATAGCTATATGTGGCTAGTGCTTGTGAAGGTTTTGGCGAGGCCTTTGGCTGTTGTACGATTTTTTGGAAGCGGCAGTTACCAAATAAGATGTTACTATAAAGTCACTGTAGACATTAATACAGAGAGACTTTAACTGCTGCCGCTGCCCTCTAGGAGTGATTCATTGAACTTTATGTACCTACTATAATGGAAAAATATATCTTATCATAATGCATATAGCACGGTATACCGTGGCATATAGATAACTGTTACAAATTCAATATTGTTGTGGAAAAGTGAGATGCTCATATTGCCTACTATGCTCATGATACCAGACTATATCATACTGTGACTATACCTTACTCACTTTTTTCCCCGGGGAAAAAAGTAATTTCATAAAGTGACAGTTTGTTACCTGTCAACAGAGATAAAATGTCCAATGTTTTCCCGTCTTATACCACCAATAGTAATTATAATTACAATGTGCTGAGGTCTCACTCTTAATGTGAATCGGGAATGATACTTCCTCCAAGGAATATAGTTGAACTGCCTGCGAGACCCCCTCCCCCGCTCCTCGTTCTTATTTGTTAAGGCACAAGAGCTGCAGTCTGTACAAGATGAAGGAGCAACATATGCAGCGGAGAATCTAACTGCTTGCAATGCTCTCTCCAACGAACAGTTAAATGGGAAAACGTTCTTTGGCAGCTGTGTAGAACGATTGCTTTGTATACAAAGCGTTTTGTATTTTTCGCATACTACCATATTCTTCTTTCAAATGTGAGGTGCATTCCTTAACCATAGAGGTATGTTACGACAGAGTTGGAGAAATAAGATCAATCATGGACACCATTTGTTGCGTCACGTGTTCAGAAAAACTGTTTGCTAAAGGGGTATTTACATGAGTCAATTTTCGCTGTGCGATTAATCACTTCACAAATTTCCTCACAAAGCCGCATCGCCACCCCATTTACACAGTTGACTAAATCGCAAGCGACTAGGCCAAAAATACAACTAGGTACATGCGGCGGGCGATCGTCTGCGACTGGCCATTTTCACGGTCGATTTTAGTCACCAGCCGCATGCTGTCCGTCCTCGCACGGCCAAAAGTCGGATACTAATCTACTTTGGAACAAGCGATTTTAGTCACTTGCGGCCTAGCCGAATTGGTATTTAGATAGTCGATTTTTGCCGTGCGGCGTGGTCGTGCAGCGAAAATCGACCTGTGTAAACCCCTTTTAAGTGACATGATGGAGTGGGTGCCAGGTGGGTACAATCAACAGGAAGGTACAAGACCAAACGGGGGGAGTAAGAGCTCTATGACATATGTGATGCAGACCCATATGTGAGTAAATGATAATAGATCAAGCTACATCCTGAGTATAAAGACAAAACTCGTGGGTGTTTTTATTTCTACATTAGATAGTAGAAAAAGTCGAATCTTCAACAGGAGCTTCTGCGCATAGGTAAAAGTACATACTTTATATAGTTTTTACAAAGGTTATTTTGTGAAAAAATATTTATAAATAGTTACATAAGAAGTAAAACTAGTCTTACTGCTCTACAAAATATAAATAATCAATCCCAGATCCATAAACCGCTTCTAAAATTTTATCCATTATTAATTGCATTTCCATTTTTCTGTCAGTTTTCGTATTTGAAATTGCGTGCACCAATTCTTCCTTATTAATTTCCTCGATGTGGCATTTGGATATAATCGTCGAAATGATACTCTTTATCGTCGTGAGCTTCAATAGGTAATCCAACGGTAGACTACTAACTAACTCTGATAGCACTTCGCTCACAACTTCCGCGGGGTTATCAATTGTTTGAATAATTTTCTCTATAACTTCCGCCACTATGCTTGAAGCAGACAATTTATCGCTGATCATCTACAAAAAGACCAAACAATTTTTATTTTAACGCTTTGGTTTGGGTGTACCTCAGGTTGTTGCAACAAAAAGATCTGCTCTGCCACGGTTTCTATGAGTTCTTGCTGGGCCTCCGTAGGTTCAATTGGTAGAAGCGCTTGGAGGTTTTCGGCCACTTCTTCAACGCTAGGCCGTTGTAGTATGTCCATTATCAAGTGATTAACCAGACTCTCTCTGATAAACTTTGTAAGACTATATGGGGCTATTGTGTCTATTAATTCCATCACCAGTGATTTTGCCATATTTAGTGTTGACATTGATAACCTGAAACGAGTACGTATGCTTAAAGTAATTGTTACATAGTTAAAGAAGTACAATGAAGAACTGGAACCGGCAATTTTTTGTTCTAGCGGTTCTTGAGCAAGTTCGGTCAAGTCAACCGTGCATTCCAATTCATCTTCTTTATCTTCCTTTTTAATTTCTGGATCTTCAATGGGAAGCTTCGCTGGCGCCTTTGCTTTATCAACCACAAATCCCTTGGTCTTCAAGCGAGCTATTTCGTTTTGTAACATCTGTAGGCCAATACACTAGTGCAATGACAGAAAAATCAATTCAGCTCACTTTCAGCTCCTTGCGTTGGTTTTTGACAATGTTTGATAATTGCTCCAAATCACTGCCATACAACTTAAGTATGTCCGACTCAGTTACAGTATCCTTCTCCCGTTTTTTTGCTTGGTAGTCGATCGTTCTAGCCAGTTCCGCCTTTTCCTTGTTAAGCAACCCTAACAAATCCAAACGGGCCGTATTGCCTTTAATGGTCTCGGCTAGTTCGACCTGAGTTTTCGCGTAAATTTGCTAAGAAAACGAAGATTAACGATTTTTTTTATTATGTGAAGGATGTACCGCCCACAACAATATTTCGTCTTTATATAACTTATCCACTTGCTCTTGAGACACCCGAAGCTCGAATACCATCTTTCTCAAAGCAGACTCCTCTAAATCGTCAATATTCGCCAACGGGCTACCGAACATCATTGCTTTGATTGAGGTTTCTTCGACATCCTCCACATCTACGACTTGTCCAAACTTTATAATCATCAACTCCTTGATTTGGGCTTTTAATTCGGCAATGTGCTTGTTCATGTGTTTGCAATCGGTCCGCATGCGCGTCATGTGGGTGATGTTTCCTCTGTGAACACGATTAGTATGGGATATTTTTAGAAATGGCTTACTTGTGTTTTGACTTTTGCTTCATGGTCTCGTTATGTAATTGACCTACTCGATCGTACAGATTACTTAGGGTGTCCTTGGAGAAGAGCAATACATCACCCACTTTACTAGATTGATTTGAAGAGACCAAATGTTGCAGTTGATTGAGTTTCAGCACTACTGTCGTCGCAACTAAGTTGATTTTCTGTTGCTTCTCCCTCTAAGATACGTTCGTAGACTAGGGGCAAATATTTAACAACGTTACCTGGTAGGCTTCTAAATCCTTTTCACTTTCCTTTAAAGTTTTGTCAATCATTTTAAGTTTTTTAGTTTTTGTTGCTATTTCTTTTGCTATAGAGTCTATATCTGCTCTCAGGTCTTTTATTTGCAATTCCACACCATGTCTATAACAAACTTATAAGTTTGTATTGTTGTATTGTAAATTAAAATATTATCGTCAAATGGGGTAAATTGGGATTTTTTCAGTTATATTAATTTGTTGTTCAGTAGCTAATTGTATCAAATAAAACACTATGAGTAGGTATAAGGAAAATTTATTTGAGATACCCCCGACCGAGTGAAATTTAGCAAGCAATTTCAAATTAAACTAATGAATAAAGTTAGTGTTAAACTGTCGACCGTAACACAACATTCAATAAGATATTTATCGCAATGCTGGTTTTAATAAACAAAGTCTACTAAAGTGGTCTACCTTTCGGGATACCTGTTTTGGTTCTTGAAGCCGTGCTCCAGCTCCCTGTATTTCACTTTTCAAGTCTTCAGTCCTGAGCCTCAAATTGTAACGGTTTTAGACCTTTGGACAGTCTCTCCTTGAAAAATTCCACATTTTGCCCATTTTATTAATTAGGTTTTGTTGCGGGCAAATACATCAATTAATTAATAAAAATTTATTTAACGCACAAGGCGCTCTCCAATGACGTCACTCAACGTTGAGGCACTTGCTTTTAACCAGTCGTTATTTGGCGATCCGAAAGAAAAGTTATAGTTTGTACAAACCATTTCATTACGATGAGACCTTTCATCAGAATGCCATAAAGGGTAGAACGTGTATGCACCTCCCTCTCCTCTTCATTTTCAACATTTGCTGGCACCACTGAAGCCCCTCCCCCCTTAAGACATCAAAATCGAATTTTGACGGCCGTCTGGCACACCTTCAATGTATCTAGGCTACCTATTGCAAAAATTCCAAGACTCGAGAACTTCTTTAATTCTTAAACCAGGTGTCAAATTCTTGACAGAATAGCTTCCTAGCTGAAACCAAAAATTGCCAACATATGTACGCACTGCTTTTATTAGAGGGACCTACCATCCAAATTTCGTTAAAATTGCTCCTTAAATAAGAAAGTTGGATGTTGCACATGCGCAACACTATTTTTTGCGCATGCATTTTGTTAGCTTTTATTAAAAGGACCTACCATCTAAATTTCGTTAAAATTGTTCCATAAATAAGAAAGTTGCATTTCTGCGCATGCGCAACACGATTTCTGCGCATGCGCAACACGATTTTTGCGCATGCATTTTGTTTGCTTTTATTAGAGGGACCTACCATCCAATTTTCGTTAAAATTGCTCCATAAATAAGAAAGTTGGATGTTGCACATGCGCAACTCGATTTTTTGCGCATGCATTTTGTTTTCTTTTATTAGGAGGACCTACCATCCAAATTTCGTTTTAATTGTTCCATAAATAAGAAAATTGCATTTCTGCGCATGCGCAACACGATTTTTGCGCATGAATTTTGTTTGCTTTTATTAAAGGGACTTACCATAGAAATTTCGTTTAAATTGCTTCAGAAACAAGATCGTTGCGTTTTGCACATATGCAACACAATTTTTTGACTTTGACAATTTTTTTCTCCGTTTTTTGATAATATAACCCGGCCCAATTTTTTGTAGGTTGTACACAGGAAAATAAGGTCTTCCAAATAATAGAATAAAAATTTTAGGTTGCTATTTGAAAAAAAAAGTTCGATGCCGTTACGGCGCTCCAAAATTTTTTTTCAAAAATCCGGCCCGTTATTTTTCTGTTCGGTATGCCTAAAACATATATACAAAATTTCAACAAAATCCGTCGAGCCGTTTTCTCAGAAAATTGCCAACAAACGTACGTACGTATATACAGACGGAAAAAAATTGTATTCTTTAAAAGTTGCTTAAAATGGTCTAAAACGTCGACATTTGATGAAATTTTGAAATGTTCAAAAAACGGCTATCGCAATAGCTACCTAGCACATGCTAGGAAGCTAAAAATGTGCTCACAAAATAATTATAATTTTTCTCGGTCACGACGAAAATCTCGATATTGACGTAACTTTTATTAAATTAAAAAAAATCAGCAGCCTTCATAGCCCCCGAATTTCAAAGAAGTAATTAACAGATTTTTAATTAACACCTCATCATTTAGAAATGAAACCAATTATTTGACATAAAACAATCAAGCTCAAAGAAAAACAGTCACTCAGGGCCAACAAACATGTACCACGCAAACAAGCGATCGATAGACAAATCTTAATTACTTACCTTAAAGTGTCAATAATCCAAAATCTCTGGCCAATTGCGATTTTTTGTATCAGACGCACAATAACAATCAACTCAAACACCAAACTAACGCTGCTTCACAAACTCTACTTCTTTCCCTTCCCTTGCTTAAATGATGATTTTAACGAACTTTTCTTGTCATTTGAGTTGTAAATGTGGTTTTTAGCTATAGTAATCGTGAAAAAAAACTGCATTTTTGGATAGAAGCAAGCCAGACATCGCTACTGTCGTTCGGCAATATTACTATTGTCGCTATTAGCAGGACTATTAGTAAGTAAGATAAAACAGCTATGAATGTCACAAATTTGGTTCAAAAGTAAGAAGGGGGTATTGTAATGGGACTAATGGCCACTCAAAAATAAAACACAAAGGTATCATTAGGTACTCCTTTTTGAAAGTACAACATTTGGATAGCTTGTAGCCAGTAACCAAACTTTGAGAATTATAAATGGAAAGGCTTTTCGAACTGTGGGTAATGGATTGAATTAAGTTGTACACACCTTTTAGTTCGTAATTCGAACGTCTTTGCATAAAGCGCCGGATCGCACCCCTTCGGGCAAACATTCTCGTCGAGCCTGACGACGGTAAAATCACGAGAATCGATACTTCCGGCATCCAACTGCTCCGACTCCGAACTATCGGAACTTTCAGACGACGATGACGACTCTGAAATTAACAATTTTTACAAACGGCGCAAGCGACGTCCAGATGCTCACCATCTGGATTGTACACTCTAGGTGGCTTGTACTTTTTCTTGAAGATTCGACGAAGAAAGTCGTAGAACTTGCTATCGGCGGCGGCCCCGAGAAATTGTTGCTGTATCGTCTTTTCCTCCTCTTGCCGGTTTTCAATTTGTCGTTTATTTGATTCGATATTTCCATTTAAGGAGGAGATTAGGTCTTGCATGTCGAGCATTTCTTGCATGTTAGAGTAGACTGTAGCTTGCAATTTATTCTCAATCGCTTCGAAGTTGTTGAGGATTAATAATTCTTGATTCAAAGAGATGATGTGGAGATCGAGTAGGTCTCCGTCACGTCTCACTTCAATCTTCTTTTGCGATACGCTAATAACATCGTCATCAAATTTGTTTGTTGCTGTATTCATTTTGTCAAGAATTCGTTGTTGTTCAAAAAGATACCTAATTTGTACAGATTAACTAGTGTAACAGTATTAAATGAGACATACCGCGATAAACGGTAGTTGCGGATTTCCGCCTCCCATGGAGTGTCAGTGTCAACACACAATGCAGCTACAGCTGGGTTAATAAACGGCTCGACAGTTTTCTTCGTTCTTCCTTTTTCAACTCGAGGCTGAGGATACAGCGTTGAAAGTGGTTTTTTCATTAGCAACACCTCCCTTTCAAGCAAATCTCCTTTAGGAATCTAGAAATTGCAATACATTAACGCTGAGTGGTACAACTTTTTTTAAAAATACAGGAACGATTTTTGCTTGGACCGTCTGTGGTACTTCGGCTAACTTTACATTAATGTCCAAATTCGTTTCCGGAAAATCTTCAGGTAACATTTCTGGCATGGGTGGCGATAGTTCTATCAGATCTTCGCCGATTTCTTGTTGTATAACATTCAACCTTTCTTTCATTTCCTTCAGATAATCAATCAAATTTACTCTATCATCTCGTAGTTTAACAATGGACATGTTTAGATTGTGTCTTAAATTGTATTGCTGCAATATTGAGTTTGTGAAATGTATTTGTGCAAATTGCCGTTTACGTTTAAACGAGCGTGTAGCAGTTGTTTATATTTCTTCACGGTCGATTGGCGTAAGTGCTTCGGTACCGTATAATCAGGGGCAGTTTTTAATTTAAAATTCCCAATAGTCTCGATGGCTTCTGCCAAGGCGGCTTCGTCATCTGGATTGTTAACTCCCTTGACTGGTTTTCTTGCATTAAACATGATCCACTGAAATTTTGTCATCGAAGAAGTTTTGTTAAAAAACTGTACCCACCTCTCTGCGTCGCTCTTCCATGCGTTCCTTCCGTTGCCTATACTTACGCAGAAATCTTGCTAATTTCGGCCCCAAACCCTTTTCAATGGTAGACGGCGATAAGCCCATAAGAAAGTATTCGAGACGTTTTGCGGCTCTTTCTGGTATCTTGAATGTTTCTTGTGCCACTTGAATTCGTTCTGGGGGCCTATATATGTACATAAAAATTAATTTAATTATTAGCACAAATAGGCGCTTACTTTCTATTTCGCTCATCATCTAAAATTTTCTGCTCTATAACTTCCAGCATATCGGAGAAAGCGCTTGATAGTTTTTGCTGCCTTTCTGTTTTCACAGACACTTGCTTTGTAACGCATTTAACAGCGATTGGAAATACATCCAAGTCATCGGCGAAACGATTCTTCAACTTGACCATGCCGACTTTGGACTTTTCCACGTTATACTCCAACTTCCTTTTAACCAAAGCCAAGTCGGCCGCAAACCGTTCGGCCAAATGCTGACTGATTCTCTCATCAATTTCAAATCTATTTCTTGGTATAACCTGGGTCGACATCAACTTATCGTTACGCTTTAATACGTTCTGAAAGCGTTCGCGCAGCACGCGAATTTTTTGCAAATAATCCCGCCTGCGCTCGCTAGCGATCCGATCGATTCTGTCTTGTTCGGCTTTAATCAAAAATTCATCCAGACTTAGATTTGTATAACCATCTACATCTTCAACTTCAAACGCAGATCTTAACACTGGGGTGCATTTAAATGGAGTTTTTTCCGGTGGCTCTATGTCGGGCTTGTAACGATACGAGAATATATTTCCATCATATCCGCAAGTGAAGAAAAAGGTTTCGTCATAGCTGAAGCACATCCTGGAAATGAATCCGTTGAAGTTGTCATGCATTGATAGTTGCCAATAGTCGGATAAATCTCGCCAGTCTGTTGGATTAGTCTTCACTACTCGTAGAGCGCCGTCTTCCATTGCAAGAATTAGATAGTTTTTGTCACTGCTAAAATGTAAAATACTTTAAATTAATGTAGTTCAGCAAACCTCCGAACACTGAAATTAGGATATTCGTACCAAAGCAGCCCATGTGGCTCCCATGTTTCCTCTAAGAACCGCGGGACTAACTATGTAACATTATGTAAACTCCTTCAGACACCTGATGCTCAAATTTCTTAAATTCGATTGACCAAGAGCTCGGTACAATCCATATTGAATTGATCCAGCGTATATTAAAAATAAAGTTGCAAAACCGAATACAACTGTAACGAAGTATCTACTCATTTTCCGCCTTAAAGTTTCATACCCAAAGTTATAACCACACCGATAGTCCAGGAAATCATGGTTTTGTCCAGGAAATTTTTTCAAAATGAATCGATTAACTTGAAATTTTGGCGGTAGGTAGGGAATAGCCTAAGGATCAAAATGTAGGTATATGATGCCAAAGGGCGTTCACGCTGGGGTGTGGCCATTTTTTAGTGTAATCTTAACACAGGAACAGATACAAAAATTAATTCTAAGCAAAAAGTGTTCTATACATTTTTTGGGAAAGTTAATACTTACCCAGTTATTCGAGACGGGGATCTTTGCCAAAACGTAGAACTACTTAAAATAGTGATTCACTCCCATTATATTCCACATATTATGTATATATTTTATACATTATATAATATTTTTTTATATTTTTTTTATTATATATATGGTGAAAAAAAGTATAGTGGGTGTTTGGCCGTTGTTGGTAAATGTGGTTTGCCACCGTGGACGTAGAGTCGAGTCTAAGGGAGTTTTAATATTAAAATTTAAATAATTTAAAATAAATAAATTTAAATAACATAATTTAAGGAGTGTGAATTTTTCATAGAAAAGATCACTGTTTTTAATTGGTTATCCGCGAAAAACTTGAAAAGTATGCATTTTATAAAAACAAGTTGTAAATCAGCATATATGCATGATTAAAGCGCATTTTTGGTAATGCAGGTCAGTATTTTATTAGCGAAGTTTAAAATTATCGATTTCACGAGTAATTTTGGCTGCGTTAAATAATTAATTTTATTTAATTTTAATTGAGGGTACGTCTTCATTTTGTAAAACAAATCACAAAGTAAATAATAAGTTTTTATACTGGTAGCGCTATCTAACGGTAAAAATTATAGCACCTCCGAAACCCATATCGAAATTATTTTCTTCAATTATCGATCTCACAAGTAATCTAACTCAAAATAGACTAGTGCCTGCACATCTACACTATAGCAGAGAGCAACTTTGAGAGGTTCCACCCTGTATATACAGCTTACGACGATACATACATTTTTGAGAGTTGGCAACCATGCAATTTCTAGGTGGGGAAAAAGTGCCTGCGCCACCTAGAAAGCACGAACGGGAGTTACGTTTGGCATCTTGTCTTGAATGGCGGTCGTGAACGTTTCGCTCCATAAATGTTTGTTGTTATTTTGTGTTATTTAATGCAGGTAGTAATTTTTGCATTTCTTTATATCGTATTTGTGTTTTGTTTGCCGCATTTTATATTTTTTGTGTGTTTCAATATTTGTTTTTGAAATTTACTTGGTTTAACCGCAATGCAATCATATGTGTGATACCGTTATGCTATTGTTTGTAATTGTTTACATTTTTGGTGTAATGTTTGCTTAATTTATGTTTATTGATGTTGATTACTTGGTCTTGTCCCTGAAGTTACATTCATGTAAGTTTTCATTTTATTTTAATATGTGGAAATTGCTGATTCGTTTGATGTATGTACTGACTTGTTGTATGTTACTAACAATTTTCTCCGTGAATGAAGCAGTCTCGGGAAGGTGGAAAAAGAAACTGTAGTCTATAATTATGTGTTAGGGCACCTAATTCCGTGCACTGTCTTCGACATCCAACTGTAGGTTCGAAACCCCGAAACCAGGGGCGGACTACCCATCTTGCAGGAGCGAGATTACGCTAATCAAAGCTCTTCAGTTTAGAATCTATGTGCGTTAAATGAGTGGCGATTCAATAATTTCCACATATTTTGTTTTTAGTCAAATTTGCCTACAAGGCCATGTAATTTTCCATCTTGCTTTCAACAAAAGGACTTTATTGCACCAAAGATGAGTCACATCCTGTACTTTTAACCCTTTCTCAGAATCTTGGTACCTGCTTCTACCTGACCCATTGTCCCCAAAAACTTGCTTTAACCTTGAGTGTAACCAACATTGTGTATATGCATTTACTATCTTTGTTAACTACTGCTAAAACTTTTACAAAATATTTTGTTAATTAACTTTTGGACTGTTTTAATCAAACTGCAAGGTTTTTCTTACGTCGTACTCTTTTTATCCTTGGCAGTGACTTTTGCGAGAGTACGACACCTTTTGGCTTTGTTTGTTTTGTTTATATTAATGTACATCAACTAAATTTCCGGGTTTTCACAATCATAATAATTACGATCATTATTAAACAAACTTTTCACAATTTCAGTGTTTTATTTAACGTTCCTTCCCTACTGTGCTTCAGGTCAAAGCGTTGTCTACAACTAACGTAAGGGGGCCCTGCCTTAGATGTTTTATCACGTGCCACTTTTCAAATTTAAGCGGGATCTTGTTTAGTTTTGGAGGGAATAGTCATTCGGGTGGCCATTTTTAAACGTTGCCGGGTTGATTTTATTTCCGTGTTCTTGTAGTGTGAAGTTAGCGTAGAACCTGGGGGTTAAGTACACTACAATTTGAATAAATTAAAAGGTAAAGCCTTAATATTGGGAGGAATATAATTATACATTTTTATATTGATATAATCAAAACTGTTTTGCGTTTTTGGTTCTTTGTATTGCCACAGATTTATTAAATGGTATCGGCCAAATAATTATTTGTGTTTTTAGACTACGTTCGCGTTACGGTAGGTGGCGTAAAATTTGATAATTGATACTAAATAAAAATTCGACAAAACAAAACGCAATAACTACTCATAAGCTTGGGCTTGTCGCAGCCAGCCCTTATTTAAACTTGTTGATTTAAACGCACCCCTGTCACCCGATACTCCACATTATTGGTGAATTTGTTAAGTAACAAAATGTATTTACATTGACAACACGCTAAATTTTCACGCCAACTTGGCTCTAATTGAAGTGGTCCGGAGGATGGGGTAGCAAACACTTCATAACTACCAGCTGCTTTCGGCTGCAGCATACGTTGCACAGATTAAACAATAACTTTTTTTCTTACATTTTTAATTTATTGGCGTAAAAATTAATTATTGTCCCATCCTTCTCCGCATTTACCCATTACCTAACGGATTTATATGCACACAAAGATCGAATTTCACATCCGTTGGTTAATGTGTTAATGGATTTACATATACAACAAATAAGCCTAAATTAGGGCGAGGAATTTTTTGAAAATGAGTATGTTATTCCCTCGATTTGCCGGTATTAGGATGTTAGTTGCGTGTGGACCGTGCGTTCATACAATAGCAGTTGAGGGTACCCGGGTGGCCCCCATAAGCTAAATGAAGTTGACGGAGCGTATTACTCCAAGGATTAACAATCTTTCGGCATGTTAGTCCCATTCTTAGCTTTTTTGCACCGCTTTTCGTTCGAAGAGTCTTCAAGAGACCGCATCTAACACGAACTACAAACACGTACCTTTTTAACAACGAAGATATCCCTCATAACACATACGCTCGATCGATCTTTAACATATAAGACCAATAAGACCCATCTATTCGGATCAATATATTGCGCCTAAAGTATTTACGTCTTTGTGATTTACCGTTTAAGCTACAGCGCATTCATTCCTCCTTATTCCCTTTAATTACATTACGTCTCCGTACACCGTACCCCGATTAAATTCGAGAAAAGTATCCTAAGGGCAAGCGTAAAAAACACCCCGTCTCTGTCTACACATATTTTCAATATTACTTATTGCGCCTAGAGCAGCAATGCATCAAGAGTATTACGGTGAAAAGGTGAGGATTTCGCAGCTCTAAGCTCCCCAAGCTCAAGCAGAACGTCGTCAGGTTTTATGTTAATACAGCTTTTATTTTCTGAAAGCTGGATATCGTTAGGAAGTTTTTTAAGCGTAAGAATAACGCCTTTCTGATGTAGACAAATTACTTTTATTCTCTTTATTACATTCTTCTTATACTCGAAAGCTTTTCATTTTTTCTTGCAAAATCGACGGTATTTTTGCAACAAAGGTTAAAAGTGCACTAAACCAAATGACACCTTACCAATGGGGCATCGCACATTAGGTACCCTTTTTAGCGCATTTCCACAAAAATAAAAAAAAATGCGCTATTGTGGCCACTTCGTCCGTCCGTCCGTCCGTTCGCTCGTTTTGCGACGCTACTAGTTCTTTATCTTAAGAGCTATTGTTCTACTTTTTTCGCTATTTGGTTCGTTATGGTGTCGAGTCTTGTACCAAGGAAGGATTTTTTTCTGTACCGCTTACAAAAAAAGTTATTGTAAAAAAAACAAAAAACCGTTTTTTACATGTTCCATAATTTTACACTTTTACACGTTTATTAACGATCCTAGAGATCGTTTATAATTTTGCATTGCTATCAGTCGCCTGCCGGTTGGTCTCTCCGTCTGTTCCTTTGTCTGTCTGTCCATCTATCTGTCCGTGTGAACGATAACTTTGTTTAGAAATGTTCGATCGCTTTTACACCTCCGTTAGTTATGAACTGAATTGCATGAAATTCAATATGGGCATAGATTTAGCCATATAATACGCAATGCCAAAAGTTGGATCGAATCGATTCAAAATCCACAGTGCCCTTTTCGCATCTCGACCATTTATAAACCGAATTGCAAACTTTTTTACTTATAAAAGTATTTGAATGAAATTTGATACATAGGCACATGGAATAAAGGAAAATCAAACGCCAATTTCAAAATTTGGTTTTGCGCATGCGCAGTGCCAACTTTTTTATTTATGGAAGAATTTAAATGAAATGTGATACATAGGCACTTAGAATAAAGGAAAATCTAGCGCCAGTTTCAAAATTTTATTTTGCACATGCGCAGTGCCAACTTTTTTATCTATGGAACCATTTAAGTGAAATTTGATACTTACTGTCGGCGCAAAAAGTATGTGCACCCGAGTTTAAAGATTAATAAAAAAATAACCAGTTGACCTATTTTAATGGGAGGGGTATCAAATTAAAGTTCGTTTAATTTTGCGTTGATTAGGCCTAAAGGATATTTTTTCCATAAAATTTAACTACATTTAGAACGCATAAAGTGCAAAAAATGCCCCTTTTTTGTGATATTTCTCGTTACGGTCAAGTTTGGAGTCGAATAAAACGAAAACCACCCCATGAAATCGCTTCCAATTTTAGTATGCTATACATTGAACCTTTTTAAATAAGTAGTTAAAATTTTAGTACGAGAGTAGAGGGTAGAGCCATTTATGTAAGTTCCGATTTTATCAGAAACGGGAGGTCGCACGAACTTTTAAAGTACATCGATATCAGCGGCTTATTGTCAATAAAACAATAGATGTACTTTTAAAACTATAATTTGATTAAGTTTGCCATAAACATTTTTTTATTTTATGGAGTTTTTCGCTTTGCATGTCGCGTGTATCGAGATGCTTGTGAAGGATGCGCGCGAACTCCCAGTCCACTTGCATTCATTTCCCATTTGTAAGATGCAACTTTTGTTAAAATCGTAAAAATCCGCAAAATGCAAGTGTGCTTTATGTAAATCGTTTACGCTTACTTTTTAACTTGTTCAT